CTTTCTAATTTTGGGCAGACAAAAGTTTGGCCCGAATAAATTTTTTTTAATGTGGTACAGTTATATACCTTTAATTGACTTACAGAAAGTGGGGGGGAGGGGGGGGGAGGAGCAGAAAGGAAAAGTAGGAATTACTCAGGAAAAGAGGTGAGATCAAGCAGAGAAGTCATAGCAGCAAAGAAAATGGGACCCTGTGAAATACAGTCAATTCAATGACCATGGAAAGGTATAACTGGACGTTGAAAGCTAAATGAACAAGTGGTCATAAACAATGTTTAAAAAGTAGAAATATAAAATTTGGCACCAGTGCAAAACTTCATAAATTTTGGCTTTTATCCCATCCCTTCCTCTGCAGTCTCATTTCCAAATGTTCATGTCTGTTTAACAGTAACATACGTCGTGGAAATTTCTGTTGCCTATAAGGTGTGCTGTAGCATTTTAAAGAGACCCCTGAGGACTGGCCTCTGACTAGCCCCTCACCCCGCCTTCATCCCAGGCCAGGCCCTCTTTGGCAAGACTGTAACTCGTGATGCTTGTACAACTAAACTCTATTTTGGGGCTTAAGGAGAATAAAGTTGACTACATAAAAAAAAAATCGATTTCATGCCTGTCTTGTATTCATCTATACCAAACATGCTAAGTCTACAGTTTTCAGCTTCATTTTAATCATCATCAGGTCCATTTAAACATTATGGTGACAGAACACTATTTAGCTTAATTCATTATATTATATTATTGCCTTATCTACAACATTTTCTTGCTCTTCTGAGATTAAAGTTATAATAAAAGAAAATATAAAACATTCCTAATGGATAACTAGAGCTAAAAAAAAAAATCCCCCAGAAACCCAAGATTTTTAATGGAGAAAAATAAAATTCCCATGTTGCAGTGGAATACCAAGGAAATAAAACTTGTTCATGAATTTATTCAAGTAAAATAACAATGAAAATATATATTATCTATTGGGTGTAAATAAAGGGCCAAGATGAAAACAACAATATAGTGAGGTAGTGAGCTACCTTAATAGAATCAATGTGCTAAATACTTAGATTGAAATATGGCTAAGTGTGTAGCAGCCCAGAATATGATAACTTAGTCAAGCTGTAGAGCTTATTTCTTCAGGTGGGGAAGAGGAGTGAGCAGGGCAGAACACTCAGAAGCCAAAGAGAAGGCAATTGAGGATGCCATAGAAGTATTTTAGAAGAAAAAAGGAGTGGTTGAGTGAGTGAACGAGGACAGGAGAGGAAAAGGGAGAAGGATGGGAGAGGGAAGGAAAGAATATACATCTAGAGACATTAAAATACCTGGAACATTGCAGAAATGGCGATGTGGCCTTGTATGGTTGTCATATCAACCTGCCTTAAATTCCTTCAGCACAGTGCTAAATACAGCCGATGGGTCCACTAAATAGAAACAAGTATGGTTGTGGAGATGCAAGGGTAGACTAACCACAGACTCGTAATCATTCAGTGACATATGCCATGGATCAAAGTCAGTTGTCTTATAGTGAAAAGTTATTGGATCATGTGCCAGGTTATCATGAATCTCAGTGTAGTGTGACTACCTATCCCTGGTTGTCTGGGAGGATGTAAAATTTTAATATGAAAACGTGTGATAAATCACAGTGATTCTGCCATTAATATGCTGTGCCATCTTGACCCAGTAACCAATTCTCAGTTGCAAATATATATATTTGCAACAAAAACAAAAGGTCTGGAAAACAAGGACTGCCTTTCCTTTTACAATGTGACCTCGCAGCTCCTCCTTAGAGGTGTCATGCATTTCCTCGCTCTTTGATCTTCACTGCCTTCATGGGTTGCTGGGGTCAATAGAAACAGCTGGTGCTGAGCCAGCTCTGAGCCTAGATTTCAAAAGGCTGAGTAAGAGTTCTCCTCATTCTTTTGGAACCCTGCCCGCTGCCAGGTGATCGAGCTTGCGTAATCTGCTAGAGTGATGGTTTGTGTGGATCAGAGCTGATTCAAACCAATAATATCGGACAGATGTTAACAATGGAATGAGTGGTGTCGAAGAGTCCAGCCAAGATCAGCAAAACTAGTGACCCAATTTAGAGTGGACTGCCGAAAAATGACAGAACCCAGCAGAATGATCACCCTGCGTATGTTACAAACTCGTAATCAATAAATAAGTGAATTCATGGATGGTGTGTTACATAGATATGTCGAAAGAGAATCCCTAGATTCAAGGCAGAGAGGGTGTAAAGGTAAACTGACCTGATCTGAAATGAAGATTCTAGCCAAGAGACTTGTAGAGATAAGGCTCTGGCTAATGTTTCTCACTGATAGAGTCGATCTAAAACACAGCCAATCAAACAAATAAGCAAAACAAACTTGTCTTGAAGAGGTTTATTCTTGTCTTAAAAGATCATGCCCTTGGGATCCTAACATTATTCTCATTTTGTAAGCATGTAACAAGTCAGTGGCGATGATAGATGCTTATACCAATCTATGTCAAGTCATTACTACTCCCAAAGTCACTGTGGATATAAAATGATTGAAATGACACATACTGTATATTTCGATGACATATAATTTCTTTGCTTCTGTTGTTAGTTGTTATCAAGTAGATTTCAGCTCAGGGTGACCACATGTGTGCAGAGCAGAATTGCTGCACAGGATTTACAAAACTGATATATTTTTAAGCAGATTACTAGGCTTGCTTCCAAGGTACTTCAGGGTGGGGGCAGGGTTCAACTCCCAAACTTTTGGTTAGTCCATCACTTAATCTTCTTAACCATCAAGAACATGCTTCTTTGTTTATACTTTCCTATATTTTATGCCAAGATATCCTTAGGTAATTGGATCCAACTTTAAAATCTTGTAGTAGTCATTCTATGCTAAAATAAAGATTAATGGAATAAAAAGAGGATGTGTAATCCATTTATAAAAGAAGATTATTAGCTCATAGAGCTTACCTATCAGTGAGTTTATCTTCTTACAGTATCTTGGTAATTCTGACAATGAGACAAATGGGAATTAAAAGAAATTCTCTAAATGATTTATTTTACAGTTTTCAGTCAACTCCCTCCTTTGTCTATTTTTTTCCTCACAAATTCTATTGACCTGGCATTAAAGAAAATAGATGAGAATGAGGGTGTAATTTGGTCTTCAATATAGAATGTGTGTACTGTTTTATTACCTGATATGTAAATGTCTGTTTTCAATAACATTCTGTGACAATCCATTGATCTCTCAGTCCCTAACATTTTAATAAATAGATATTTAGTATTTCAGAGAACATTTTATCTCAAAATTCCCAAGTGAGTCACGAATGAATGTTAAATCCAGACATCATCTTTCATTCCATACATTCTACTCTTCTTTTTGATCCTAGCAGTGCCAAATTTTGATTTATCTCATCACATTTTTCATTATTCATTTGCCTGTCATTGAAGCTTTTAATGATTTTCGCCCTCCCCCCAGTAGTCAATTGCCAAGAATAACTTACTTCATCCTCTGTGTGTTTGGCTGATGCTACTGATTTCCATTTTCCTAATATTTCTCTGCAAAACAAAAACAAAGTCCTCTTCTTTTTAACCCAAATCTTCCTTATTCTCATGGGAAATGGACCCGATTCTCATTATAGATAGCAATATGGCATATTCTGGGAAAGGCACTTGGCAGAAAATTAGGAGAGGTAGGTTCCTGAATTTAGGCAAATAATTTTAACACTCAGACTCAGGTTAATTTTCTGTAAAATGAGGAAGTTGAACTCAATGGTATCAAAGGTTTTTTGTCCATTTTAAAACCCCTCTGCTCTTTTGGTATTATGAAAGGCACTGAGGAGGTTATAATGTACAGTAATATAGCTTACAAGGGTATTTGCTTCCCTGGAATGGCTGAGGAAAAAGTGAATTTCTATATTTCAGTGAGTAATGGGAAATAAGGCACTAATTTTTTTTTCAGCTAAAATTTTGTGACTCATGTTTCCTTAAAGAATGCAGCATGTTGAAAAATTAATGAAGTGATAGGCAAAGCATTAGGGGAAGCCTAGTCTTTCTGCCAGCGAAGCAACTTGAACATTCTATTGTTCCCGGGCTTCTGTGTTTACTGAAACAGCTTAAAGAAAAAATGCCCACCAACAACACAATTCTGATTTGCCTTAAAATAAGCACGAGGCTTACCTTTACTTTTTTCCCTCTTTCTCCAGGTGGCTGTTAAAGAGTTCTATGGTAAATAATGGGAAGTTATTGCTTAGGGAAATCAGTGAGGCAGACAAAACAAGAGGGCAGTTCAAGAAGTTTGGGGGGGAAATGGAATTAAAAGTTAACGGAAATGTTCCATGAGCTTTTTGAGGTACCATCATATTCTTGGAGAAAAATTGAAGACCACTGGGTAGGTTTATCTTACATGGTGAGATATATAGCCTAGATTTTAGGAAAGGTGAGTTTGTAAGCTGGATCTAACTCATAGGCTGAGATTGTCTGAGTCAAGATCAAGTACCAGTCACTAAGTTGAATGGCAGTCACAATGCAGAGATATTGGTGACCAATAATGGAGTCACCCAGAAAGGGCAAGAGTGACAGAGTTCCCAGACTGGGGCGGATGAGGTTTCAGGGGATGGATGATGTGAGAGGGGTTTGTATACGATGCTCACTGCAATGGCTCCAAGGGAAAGGATCATTCCAGAATGGAGGTGCAAATCATCTACTCCAAGAAAATGGAAACTAGCTGCATTCAACATATTGGAAGGAACGTTGTGTTTTGTTAAACAACAACAACAACCTTACGATGTAGGGACCATTACCATTCTTTTCTGATGAATGTAAAAATTAAAGTTAACTTGGCTTGAATTACTCAGATAATAAGTGACAGGAATGATCCAAGAGAAACACAAAACAAAAATTTTGGAACAATGACTATTATTCAATAATTAAAACATTTAAAGCGCTGATAGCAAAGCATTCAACCCAGCATGTAACCTATCCAAGCGTGGGATTTTATGGACCTACATGGATCACATACTCAGGAAGCCAGACCTACCTAACCAATTGTTTTTCCTCATCCCATCCACTCCATAGCTAATATACTTGATCGGCACCATATAGCCTGGCTCTTTTTCTGTCAAGTAAGAAACAGGAATTTTTATAGAAGTTTGAAACAGGACTGGCAGTAAAGATAATGGAGCTATATTATGGCATGACATGTTGAAATAAACCATTGAGGGCATAAATGTAGATAAAATCAGACTGGGTTAAATAAGTATTTTTTGAAATGACCAGGTTCACCCCACCCCCACAAAGTTTGTGAAGCTCAAGGTAGAGGGGGGAAGAGGGCGTGACCCAGTAATTTAAAACACAAAGGCTTCCATGAAAAACCACAACACCACCTCACATTCTTCCCCTCCCAAACACACCACTAGATCTTAACTTTAGAGAGAAGAGCCAGTTTATGATTACAGTACTCCTAAAAGTTTTAAAGGGCTTACACATGGTTAGAATCTTTGAAAGTTAGGAGTAGTGAGCAAACTAAGAGACCTGAAAATGCCACTTAAGTTAAGTGCTCATTGATGCAGCAGATGTAGGATGGGCAGATAGTCTGGATTAACATCATGTGCTCAGTGTAACTTTAGAATGCTGTGCGCCAGTCAGGAGGGGTAGCTGGTGGTAGGCGGGCAAGACGACAAGCAAGGAAACACAGAGATAAAGGAGCAATGTTGGCTTCAAGACAGGAGGGCGGTAGAGCTCGAGCCATGAGCTATCTCTGATACAATATTTAGATTGTTGAAGCCTTCCTGAAGAACTGCTCCTCTGACCTGTTTTTGCTTTGTTTGTCCTGAGAAAGCCCTGCCTGTCTTATTGTCAGCTCTAACTGTGCATGAACGCCCATGATTTGAGAGTTTAAGGAGCCCTGGTTTTCACGTAAACAAAGGACCTGACACAGGATCTGAACAGACTGCATAATTAGAGCTAATAAATACAAATCAGGGGGGTGAACTGTGGTTCAGTTCACTTGTTTGAGGAGAAATGGTGACCCTGAGCAGCTGTGTGTTCCAAGCTGCCTGCTCTTGAGCTACCTGTGCACTCATGGAAACTCCAGATCCCGGGGCCAGCTGCATCTGAATAGCCAAGGGTGGGAATCGGATTTCTGTATTTCTAAATAATATCCAAGTAGAATATTTATGTTGGAGGCTCATTGAGAATGATCATGACGTTGCTCTGGACTCAGGTATAAATTTCCAAAAAAGATTAGAAAACATAGAATTGCTTTATTATCTCCATTTTAATAAAATATAGCATCTAAGGAGAATTCTGTGCTTGAAAGTCTGGACTTTTCCGGAGCAGTTAGCAAACTCTCAACCTGTGCCTGGAAAGCACCTGAAAGAAGCCAGGGATGCCATTGGCTAGGCCATGCAGCTGGAGGTGAATGTGAAGAAGGAAGGCTCTTTTTTTGTTTGTTTGCTTGTTTTATAAATTGCAGAGCTCCTGGGACACAGGGTTATTGTTGGGCACTATGGAACACTCAGTGGAGACCTAGTCTTGTAGTGGTTATGCGTTGGGCTGCCATTCATCCGGTTGGCAGTTCATAGCCAGTAGCAGCCCGCCTCTCCGCCCTGCCCAGAAAGACTGGGCTTTCTACAACGGTAAACAGTTAACGTTTCAGAAAGCCACCAGGAATCACTGTGAGTCAACAGCGACTTGCCAGCAGTGAGCTACAGAACACCCAGAGCAACCCCCTCTGACCGATAGCACTGAGCCGCAGGGTTTTGTTGGCTGCACTCTTTATTGGGAGCAGATTCCCAGGTCTTCCTCCCATTTGCCTCCTGGTGTGGTTGTTTTGAGGTACTTTCAAAAGTCCGTTCCGACTCACATGGAACGTATGTGCAACAGAACCAAACACCGCCTCGTCCCGCATCATCCTCACAATTGCTTCTAGGCCGGAGCCCATCATTGCAGCCATTGTGACAATCCATCTCCTCGAGGGTCTGACCCTTCTGCATTGCCCCTCCACTTTACCAAGCATGATGTCTTTCTCCAGGGACTGGTCTCTCCTGACAACCTGTCCAAAGTTACGTGAGACAAGTCTCGCCATCCTAGCCTCTCAAGATCACTCTGACTGTCCTTCTTCCAAAATAGATTTATTTGTTCTTTTGACAGTCCACATTCCTTTCCATAGTCTTCACAAACAGCATAATTCAAACGAATCAAGTCCTCTTTCGTTTTACCTATTCAGTGTCCATTATTCACATGTATCTGAGGCTCTTAGGTGGTTTCAAATCTTCCGCCTTTCAGCTAGCAGCTGGGCTCTTCCTTGTTGGGCCATCGCTGCTGCAAAGCAGAGCTGTCTGATCAGGGACTCGGAAATGACCAACGGAGGAGCGGGAGGCAGGTAATAGGTATGGAGACTAAAGAGGTGCATCTAAATAAAGACTGATGCATTAAAAATGAGACAGAGTCTAGAATTTCACCTCTCCCGGTGTACCCTAAGAATGCTGCATGGGGGAATGGAGGCAGTATGAGAAACCCCGCAATAAACCCATTTATAGGCCATGTGTTAAAAAATATATCTTATTACAGTTTCATTCTAAGCATCAGAGCTGCTAACCAACTTATTATGGGCCATCCCGGGCTTAAAGTCAGGTTCACAGGTGCATGCCTGCAAACTCCTCCCTCCTACCTCCATAGGCACATACACACAAGGAAGACCATCACATAAAAGTTTAACTGTGTTCCCAGTATGTGGGAAGAACACAGTCCTACTGCACACACATGATTCATGTCGACATCAGAGCTCTAATGTGGTGTGCCAACCTCTAAATTTTTAAAACCTTTTTATAATAGAGTTTAAAACCAGATAGGGACAGTTTGGCGAGCAACATTATATCAAAGGGTTTAGTTAAAATGATTTACTTGTGGGTTTTAAACAGCATTAAGTGGTTTGTGAAAAGTGGTCTGATTTGTGCTTAATATGGATGGTGTTTAAAAGTCTGGGCACCGGAAAGGTGCCCCCCTGGAGACGCATCCACCAGGAAAATGCAGGCCTTAAATACAGCTGGGTGTTTGCTTCCAAGACTGCCTTTCGGAATATTAGCATTTAAACCACCCACAGAGGCTTTGCAGATGCTTTTCTGGGTAAATGAAGAAGAGATGTGAATGCTCACACCTCGCTGCAGTAAGACTTTTTTTTTTTTTTTAATTTAGGGATGATTCTCAAAAACTGGGTTGACCAGAGAATCACATTTTAAATGCTCATAGAGGAAGCTACCTGGAGAACCTGAGCTTTGTACTTCATCCTCTGAAATGAAGTAAACAAAGGGGAAGGACGCAACACTCATTGCCCCATTTCCACTCTATTTTAACTGAAACATGCAAGGGGGCAACTCAGATCTTTCTGGGGATGATCTGAGGACAATCACAAAGATGTTCCTTAAGGGTGGCACTTTTTTTCAAAGATGTTCCGAGTGGGCCATGATACTTTTCTCCATCTGCCTGAGACCCTTCATAATGTAGTGTGAACTATCACCATCAATGCAGCATTTGGGGGAGGCTGCAACAAGGAGGTTGTTTTTCTTTTTCTTTTTTGGTTTTCTTTTTTTTTAAATCGTTTTCTTAGGGGCTCATACAACTCTTATCACAATCCATACACACATCAATTGTGTAAAGCGCATCCATACATTCATTGCCCTCATCACTCTCAAAACATTTCCTCTCCACGTAAGCCCCTGGCATTAGGTCTTCGTTTTTCTCCTCCCTCCCCGCTGCCCCCTCTCTCATGAGCCCTTGATAGTTTATAAATTGTTATTTTGTCATATCTTGCCCTGCCCGGCGTTTCCCTTCACCCACTTTTCTGTTGTCCGTCCCCCAGGTCACATATAGTTCCTTGTAATCATTAACAAGGAGGTTTAACAAATAAGAACAGCAGAGAATTTGGACACAGCTACTGTAAAAACAAATTCCTTGGAAAAAATTTTTTGAGCATCAACAATGGGCAAAGAACCAATTATAGAGTCTGGGCTTACTTAAAAACCATAAAATGAATAAGGCCCTGCTTCCTTAAAGATTCTTATTCATAAAGATAGATAATTAAGGAAGTAAATAAAAGCCAAAAAATAGTTCAGAGCGTAGTAAGTGACAGAAAGGACACCCAATGGGGTGATTTAAAAAGGGTTACTGGGTTGGAGGCGCTACTCCGAATATGACTGATTGGAGGCACCACTCCAAATAGCCCCTGTTGGAGAAAAGGACCTGGATACCCAGGAAGAAAAAGTCGTGCGGATTTTGGTAGAAAGCAGGTTTCAGGATGAAAAAGCAAGAGAGTCCTTGCTCTGAAAGGGAAAATACAAAACTCAGGGCTTTCAAATGCATTCCCAATGATAGCCCCTCTGCAGGACAGAGTCGGACAAGATCTTGATCAGCAAACTGCCACATCTTTTCCCCAAGGAGCCACGGGAAGGTTCTAAAACACCAGGGAACCTTCTGGGGAGGAACCAGACTCTTTAGTCAACCCCTGTGCCACTAGGGCTGCTTGCCTTGCCCTGAGCAGGAATAAATCTAGTCCTTTCGCTCCAGTCCAGTCAATGCCAACTCACAGAGACCACCCTGTGGGTTTCTGAGACTGTCACTGTTGAGAACCTAGCAAGCTCAGTCGTGCTCCTGCAAAGCCGCTGGTGGCTTCGAACTGAGGGCCATGTGGATCCCAGCCTAATGCATAACCACCAAGGCTAAAAATGTAGTACGAGGGTTAGTTATAAAGCAGTTCTACAAATTAATAGAAACTCATTAAACAAAAAAATCAAAATGTGAAGGTATCATTCCTCTTCATTGCCTCCACCTGGGTCAACAGACGTTAAAGTCAGGGTTTTCATGCATACTCGCAGAAGAATTCTGCCCTGTTTAAAGAATCCCAGCATGTGAAAATAGCAACTTTTGGTATCCTCACAACACTAAAATTGTGTTCCTTTTAAATGTTCTGTGAGTTTTGGAACAAAACAGGTCCTGGGGAAACGGAGATGAGTGGAATGATGAAGATGGCAATAGAACTGATGGTTACCTGGGGACATGGAAAGGGGGAATGGGGTGTCAACATCACTGTGTTAAAAAAAGGTGAAGAACATTCCAAAGTTGATTGTGGCAATGATTGCATAGTCCTTTGGATAGGATAGAATTATTTAATTGCATGATATTTCAGCGATATTTCATTAAAAACAATTTAAAAGAAATCTAAAGTAACAAGAACAGGGCTAGAGGGTGGTGGGGTGATTACCCAGTAAAAGTTTTGTAGGACCCAGGCCCTTACTATTGTCAAAGGGTGAACAGGTGAATAGAAGGAAAAAATGTCTTCACCCAATTTTCCTGAAATTTTCCTGGAATTCCTCAAACAGTTTCCATAACCTTCTTGGCTGACATCTTTGCCTTGGATGATCTGACCCAGCAAATTCCCTGAGAAGCCATTGTTTGGGTTGGACTTTTCTGGAGCTACCCTATTGAGGTAAAGACAGGAGTACTACTGAGAGAATGTGTCTGCTGCCATTCACCGATTGCATATGCGTGTTTAAATACATTTTGTTTTGAAATAAACTCATGAATGTATAAACTGAAACTGCACTAGCACTACTTTTGGACTTACCTTCTGATATGCACCTAACAGGGAAAAGGGCGATGGTGAGCAAGGGGAAAGGGGTAATGAGACAAGGAGAAAGATGAATGAAGCAATCACCTTGTATAAGATATCGCATGTCATGGCTTGGAGTGTGTGCTGACTAAATGCTCTGTGATTTATCTCTCTAGTTTCTAATATCCATTGCCATGACTATGCAGAACTTACAGAGAAAATTCATCATTAAAGGGTTTATTAAAGAAATGAACACATTGCAATGCCAGTGAGAAATGCTAAGGGTTGTTTATCAGGACACGTTGCAGAGTACTGTCAAGTTTGCTAATAAATGACCAAGGAGCATATCATTTCCTACACGGCTCAACCCATAGGCATTTAGCTTAAGCTCCATGGATCAGCAAAGCCAACCAACTGAATCAAGTGCCCAGAGGACCCCCCACTCCAACAAGTTTCAGCCTGAGGCACACCACTCCACTTCCGTGGGTCAGCAAATCCAACTTTCCGAACTAAGTGCCCAGAGGTATCCCATTCAGGAAGCAAGCCTCTTGCACAAAAGCACACAGCTTCACTTGCTCAATGGGTTGGGAAAGTGCATTACTCTGTTCTGTGTTCTGGCTTCTGGTTCTCTTGCTGTTCCTCTGATTGTTGTAGCTTTCAATCTGGATCCCGGAGGGTCACTGTGCAGGGATCTTGGGTCCAGGGAAAACACTCCACTCCTGGCTCTTGCTGGTAATGACATCCCTTTTCCTAAGTCTCAGAGGGCTCATTTTATACACAGCAGGATGGCACTACAGGGAATCCTATACACAATTACTTATAGGTGAATTCTATCCATATGTTCTCTCACCTACTCAGACCCATGCAGGGAAAGATTGTTTGATGACAGTTAGACTTGGCTTAGCAGAGACACATTTGAGAATTCATGGACCCTGCAGAGCTTTGCTCTTATTCCAAATAACCTAGAAACCATTTAGAAAGTTTCTAAAAGCAAACCAACATGAATCAAGTCATGTTTACAAAGAAAACTCTGTTGTTGGATGAAGCATGCTGGATAGAGGTAAGATTGGATAGAAAGAGGCCAGTAAGTAGATACTTTAAGAGTCAGGCTAGACATAATGTGGTGTGGATCAGAAGGGTTCTAGAGAAACATAATTAATTAATTAATTAATTAAATAAACAGCAAATTAAAAAAAGATATTGTTTCTGTAGGGTAAGATGAGTGGCTATTTACCAAATAGACAATATACAGATGATGAGTTTGAGTTAAAAGAAATGAGTCAGTTTTATTCAGGTTTGAAAGACAATCTTTAAAGAGAGCACCCCCTCTGAGCAGGGAAGGGCAAACAGGCGGACTTGATCACCACCACACTTTAATAACAGTGCCGGTAACAAGGGTGATTGCTGGCTGCCGAGCACCTTCCAGCAGGCAGATCCTGCTGAAGACAGTATGTAAAACTTTAGAATCTCAGGAAAAATGCTGAAATAGCTATTACTGCTTACCTTACAAACTGAAACAACGACAATTGACAACAACCTTACAAATGAGAAAGCTGAAGTTTAGCCAGAGGGGCACCGTCATAAAGTGTATAACCAAATAAAAAGAACCCAAACCCAAACAAACACATGCCCTGCCATCGACTCATAGCAACCTGATCAGACAGGGTGGAACTGTCCCTTTGTTCTTCCCAGACTATAACCCTTTACGCGAGTAAACCCTGTCTTTCTCAGAACTGCCTGGGGGCTTCGAACTGTTGACCTTGCAGTCAGAAGTCCACTGTGTAGATGTATGATCACCCACACATCACAACAATCTAGTCTGTTCTGACGGATCGTGACCCTGTAGGATGAGGTTGGATTTCCCCTGTGGATTTATGAGACTGCTACTCTTTATGGGAATACAAAGCCTCATAATTCCCCAGCACAGTGGCTGATGCTTTCAAACTGCTAACCTGAAGTTTGCATAACTCCTGTGCCACCTGAGCTCATCAGACATCCCACTTAATAACTGAATGACTGCAGTCAAAATTAGCTCACATTTCAATGACCCATTTTCTTGGTATGTAAATTTAGGATGATGGCCAAACCAATCTCATGAGATTCAATATGCTAATATATGCAACACCCTCACATATTCCTAACATGATATAAGCCTACAGTAAACTTTAGGAATGGTTGTTAATACACATATCACCAAACTATTGGATAGTAGCCCAGGGCTGCGTTGTCTAACGCTGGTTATCATCATTTACAGTAATGTTTCTTAGACTTTTATATTCAATAAGGATTATATCAATAAATAATCATTATAATAAAACTAGGGTCCAACCAAATATCTTATAAATAGAAAGTAAGTTAGTTTTCAGTTTTCTTACTTGCCCATGTCGTAGTAATTCAATTCTCTCTTAGTTTCCACTTCATGATTTAGAGTGTACAAATCATGTCCATGGTGAGTATTTCATATATAAGTTATGTTACAAGAAAAGCTCCAAAATGTGCAGAAAGAAAACAATCAATTTCAACAGAGCAAACAGCAAAATAATATACAATCCACAAACATTCTACATATTTTTATATAAAAACATATATACTATCATAATAAAAAATAAACTCACTTCACATTGTTTGCCCTTAACTATTTCTACTCACTTGAGCTCCAGCTTGCCCCTATTCTCACACAGCCACACATACAACAGCACAAAGGAAATACATTCTAAAAAGGAAGCAGACTCCTATCAAATACTCAGTAACGCATTTTGGTCCATAGTAGGTATTTATTAAGGAGCTTTGGTGCTGTAGAGATTAGTTGCTTGGCTGTTAACTGGCTCATGGACTATTCAAATCCACTAGACACTCCTGGGGAAAAGATGTGACCCTCTGTTTCTGTGAAGTTGAAATACTGGAAATCCTCTGGAGCAATTCTTTCTCTGCCTTATATGATGATCACGAACCTGAATCTGCTGGATGGCAGTGATCTTGGTGTGTGAGCATCACTGTTATTGTTTAATATCAATCTAATGGCACAGAGGCGAGCTGTGGATGCAGCAGAGAGTACGACGGTCTCTCAATGGCTAGGGGAGAACTGTGAGCCTCGTTGCCCAGTATGGTGTCTACTGAAGATGCTGCTCTGAAAAAGGCTCTGGAAACAGGGCACTGAAACATTCTTCTGGATTCAAGAAAGGGACCAAGGATACAGCTTATAAACATAGGACCTTTGGGACAGTATAATTGAGAAGAATTACTGTGCATGGAAAGAGTTTACTATACATGTTAACGAGTATATTCTTTAAGATTTTTATTATATCAGAGCTGTGTGCTAAATATATCTCTCTGAACTATTCCATGCAAGTAACCATTTTCATGTCACTGAAAAGAATTTTCTCACTCTAGTTCTTAGGGTATAGACACACTCTTTTTATGGATTTTGTTGTGTATTTAGAAACACGATTGTGCGCTATATAATTCAAATACTATTTTGTGTTTTATTTTCCTACGTATGCAATCAGATTATTTACCAATAACTAAAATGTTGTCCTTGGCTAGTTACTATAAATGTTTTAATTTATGGTTCCTTTCTTCATCTCCTGACCAGGGCTTCTAGAAAACGAGGGATGAGAATGGCCGAGGAGCCCCAGTCTCGAAGGGAATGCACTTCATGTTTCTCAACCAGGAATGTATTCATTCATCACAATGCCTCTAGGTTCCTTTTTCTTTTGCTAAGAGGTTTCTGAAAAACTCATAAGTAGATATTCTATTTTATCTAATATCCTTTCTGCACAATTGAGGTGACTATATTCTTCTCATTTAATATTCAATGTAGAAAATTATATTAGTTGATTTCTATTTTGCTTAGAATTCATTCTATGTTCAGGGAAGTAAATGGCTTATATTTAATTTCTCATACTCTCATCTCACACTTATTTATTAAGACTATCTTTTCTACCAATGGAATTTCTTGGTAAAATTAGAGCAATCTTAATTGTTGGTTAGAATTGATTAATCTAGTAGCATTTCCCAGCAAAAGCTTTTTGGCTTAATAGGATATTTGGACTTTCCATATCTTCATAAGTAAGTTTGAGTAATTATATTTTTATTTACTTGGATATTAATTTTTTCCTGATTAGTAATTTTTTGCCATATAACTTTCACCACATAGTCTCTATGTTTTTTGCCATTTTTCCCCTTTCCTAAGTTTTTATCTTCCTATTTCTATGTGTCAAAATAAATGAATCCAATAAGCTTTTCCTAACCTTACATTGCTATTTTCTTTTTCTCCTCTTCTACACTCCACAAGATTTTTGTTTAGTCACATAGAACAAAAATTGATCTTTGATAACTGGTCTTTCTTTCTGGCTCTAATAGTTGACAGATACATAACCAGGAGCAATCTACACATGACTCACTTATTTATATTTTCCTTGTAATCTTATTTTATTTGAAGATGCAAATAAAGTAATACATAACTATATGTGTTGGAATGTGTCCCCTCACAATATAGATGATAAATCCTAACCGCTATACTCAGGGATATAATTCCATTTGGGGATAGAGCTTTGCTATATTAATGGGGCCATGTCAGTGTATTGGCTTAAGACAATCACTTTTGAGATATAAAAGATCAGATTAAGAGAAGAAACAAGTGCTCAAGAATGAGAGAATGATACATGTATAAATCTCTAAGGGACATCAGAAAGAATATTCACAAAGACAAAAATTTTTTTTCCACAGAGTGGACAAAAAGAGCCTTCCCAGAACTTTCAACCTCCTAAACTGTGGAAAAATTAAATTTTCTATATTCAAGTTGTCCTTTTGTAGTATTTATGTTACAGCAGCACTCACAAACTAAGACAATGTATACAATCTGTAAGG